AAAGTATTCTTCCAGGTGCTCTGCTGGGAGGGCTTTCTGTCTTCCCTTGTCCACCTGGGAAAGGGAGCTGTTAGATCAGGGAGAGGCAGCTTAAGAGCTGCTTCTGGGCACCCTCTGGATCACAGGGGGTGGCACACAGGATTGGCCCCCGTCACTGCTGCCCCTGCACAAGGCTTATCAGAAAGGTATGTGTGATGTTCTGGAGTGCCAGCTCTGACTCTAAACCCCAAAACGGATGACTGCATTTTCCTCACCTCCAAGTTATAGTCTTCCCTTATTTCAGAAATGCTGGCTTGGGCCAGGTCCTTGTAAGGAGCCTTCTGTTGTCCTGAGGGTTCATCAGTAGCAAAGCTACACATTTGGGAACGTCTCCTGTAGTGAGGATCCTGGGTTCTTGCTATCCCAGCTGTTCCCAAGCATGCTCACAAGGAAGGAGAGGGCAGTTCAGCAGCTGCTGCGGGCATGAAGCTGAAGACAGAATCACATGGGGCAACGTGGCACAGGGGTGAAATGCAGTGAGGCTGCACCTCAGAGGCCAGCTGGAGCCACTGGTGCTCCTTGCACTCAAACTGCCTGCTGGGACAGGACCCACACGCCAGCCTGCCCTGAGCCTGCTGCCTCCAGGGCTGCTGGCTGCTGTTGGGCCACTTCATGGAGACGATCCAGCAGCAGTCTGTGCCTGAATGGGCCTAGCTTCTGTTAACACCCCAGCTATCCCATTCTATGAACTTCCCAAACTCTGAGTGAAACGTTTTGCTTTTAATGTGCTTAGTGGCTGTACTGCTGGAATGCCCAGAGGCCGTGGCCAGAGTCAGTCCTGTTTTGCCAGATTCTGTGCTCAGATCATGATAGAGACAGGCAGAGGCATAAAGCTAAGGTTGCATAGCAGTTTCCATTAGAAGGACCTGCTTCCCTTTGCAGGTAAGTTATTAAATGTTAACTGGTGCAGTTGTGTTTTGCCGGGCTGCGTGCCTGTCTCAGGCTGAACTTTTCCCTTTATAGCTACAACAAAATTAATTTTAATGATCTGCAGGGTAAGATTAAGGCATGTAGAGAGCCCTGGGCCTTTGCTTAGCCAACATCCTGTGTACCTGGAGGATCACCTTCACAACCCACTGTGCAGCGGCAGCTTGCAGTGCAGGAAGTGGGGCTGGCCTGGATGGTTCCTCTTCTGCCCAGCAGCACATGACCAACTGACCCCAAATGGCAATCCTCTGAGGAGCCCATTTGGTATGTATCTTCAAGGACATTTCCAGGGCTGACTTTCTCCCAGGATGCCTTACCCATGCTGAGCAGTTTGAAGTCACGTCTAAGTCTCTGTGTTGACCAGAGAGATCATTTAACCACCCTCAGCATAGACACTGAGTCAGATTGTCCACGGTTCTGCCTGCTGACCCCAGAAATGCAGGGATGCTGGCTGTCCTGTGCTCAGCTGCCTGCAGCAAGAAACAAAGGGGGGGAGGATGGAGCTCAGAAGTCCTAATGCTGAGAGCAACCAGGAGGAGGGGTAGGAAGCAGAGACAGGCTGAAGGAAGTCCAGGTCAGGCAGTGATATGCCAAAGGGGTAAAGTTGTTTTATCTGTAAGTGAAGAGCGCTGCCCTTCCCCACTGAATCTGAATTCATCACTCATGGCCCAGTACTGGGAGACTAAAGGCCAAGTGGTGAGGCTGACAAACATAGGCTGATAATGCAGTGAGCTCTGGAAAGATGGGAGACAGCAGGGCTCCTCCTGAAACACATTCCCATTTCAATGCCTGGTAATGTTCCAGCAAGGCTCTGAGGGCTGTCAGCAGTGCAGTGGGACTGGGAGCTTTACAAAATGCACATGCAATTCATATTTCTCATGTTCCTGGTGTGCTGGACAGTGTACCTTCAGGAATGTGCAGGGAACATGCCAGATACCTGCAAAGTGGGGGATGGAGCCTGATAAAATGGAATAGAGTGGCTCCCTGTAGGGAAAGTGTGCAGGGAGAGAGAAACACACAGGGAGAGGGCTGAACAGCGGAGCTCTGAGCCTCAAGTGGAAGCCATGGAAACTGCATTTGTGCCAGACAGAAGCTGAGGAAGATAAGACCTGGGATGCAGAAACAGGGAAAGCCCTTGGAAGTTCCAGCAGCGTTACAGTTACCACAGCTCAGACCCTCACTCTTCCCCTCTGGCTCACCTGCAATGGTGGCATTGTAGGAACGCCCAAACTCCACCTTGTTCAGTGTACACACTTGTACACAGCATTCGCTTTATTTTGCTTGCAAACCTTTTGTTTCCAGTCAGCTGTTTCCTCTCTGCATCTTTGCTTTATCATTCAGCAAATGAATTTCTACCTTTCTTTCCTGCAAAGTCTCACAAGTCAAAGCAAGCTGGAGTGTGCAGTAAGTGTAGTAAGGCTGAGAAGTTGTAATTCCTCTCTTCTGAGGGACCTGGCTCCCTGGAGTCACAGTCTGCACTGCCGCAGACATTGATGGACTGGGAGTCAGTGTCTGAAGGACAGGGGTTGCAGCTAATGTGTGTGATCAGGTAAGCAGCATCTCCTACGTGGTGAGATATTTAGGGACTCGCAGGGTGCAGGATATTGATTTGCAGAGGTCAGTATGGGATCTTGTATTACTGGCCTCGGGAAGGGCCTGCCCTTGGGCACAGGCAGTCACTGTTCCTGGTGGAGCCGTGCTCGTTTGCAGCTTTCTGTGTTTCCCCAGCAAGGGGACAAAGACAACATTCCCTAGTTGCTCTCAGAGACCTTGCTAACTTAGAGGGCAGTGTGATGCACAGCTCAAAGGCCACACTTAAAATATTCATTCAACAAATGGCCAAACCAAAGCTGCTGAGGAGTCGGATCTTGCTTGCAAATCCTTGATGTGGAGCACAAGTCTGGAGATCCAGTCACTCGTGATTACACCTTGTTCTCCATAGTCTAATGTGTCTTGGTAGCAGTGGAATGAACACAATTCCACATGTGAAGATGACTTCAGCCTGAGGGTTCCTTTCTCACAGAAATGTTTGACGGATGAAAGCGAAGAGTTGAGGCAAGGACAGCTAAAGGATGGGTGCTGACCTGCAGAACCTGATCGCCTTCCTTCTGGTGCCACCACTGATCCCTGAGGCAGGATTCATAGCAGTGCCAGCCTCCTGCCCAGTCTAGAACCTGGGCTCTTGTCCTAGGGAAGGGGCCAGACACAGATGGTCCCACAAGTGCTCACTTCTCCTTGGTGACCCAAGAGCCATTGGTCAGAGGTATTTCCTTAAGACTCTGAGGATAAACCACAGGAAAGGTATAGAACCATGCAGAAAGGGAAGGCTCTGTGCAGGGATTTAGGTTGTGCCCGGTTAGCAGAGGAAAGCTGAGGGCCCTGTAGTCAGCCTCATTTACGTGCTCTGCACAGGATTCTAGTATCTGTTCACAGAACACATCACTGAGGGCTGCAGGAAGGCAACGAGCCAGACGCCCTTGGAGACGGAGTAGAAGATGGTGCGTGTGGGGAGGAAATCCGTGCATTCCTACAGATGTCACTGCCACCAGGGATTGCAGGGAGCCCAGCAGCTAGAGGGACTGCACCTCTCAGCAGAAGCTGAGCACAGGGACACACAAGTTGCTGAGGGGGGGACTGCCGGGGAGATGGTAGCTGCTTGGAGCATAGCTGTCCCACTGAAAACACCATCAGGGTGCATTTAGACACGACTTCAGTTCTGGCATTTCTCTGTTTCTGGATGCGTTAGGAGGTAATCCCGATGCTGATATTATTCTGAGCAAAGCAGGGCCTTGGTTTGCTCAGTGTTTGGTACGTTACTTACCCGGGGACCACCTCTTCGCAGGTAGGAGCACAGCACAGGTGTCAGGAGCAGCAATAAGTACTCTGCTTTGGCACAGGGACTCCCGCGGGACGCACAGCAAGGAAGGGCAGAGCCGCAGAACCCTCACTGTAGTTCTCTCGCTTTCCACCGGCTCTGGAACTGCGCGAAGAAGCGCCCGTCGGCACTCAGTCCGCAGACGCATCAGTCCCGCGCTCCGGGGGCTTTTGTGCAGCGCAGCCCGGGGGATTGTAACCCCTGTCCTGGGGCGTTCCCGGCGGGAACCCGGGTACCCCCGGCCCGGCGGGTGTTCAGTGCCGCTGCCCCCGACGGAGCGGGACGCCGGGATCCGTCCGGCGGCGAACGGAGAGCAGAGCGGAAGGGCCGGGGGAGCCTCAGACCCACTGTAAATCCGCCCGCCTCGTTCCCACCCTGCACCGGGTGGGACCGCGTCTCCAGACCGCCCTCGCCGCCCGCACCGCCGAGACCCGCTCCGAGCGCCGGGCGGTCCCACGGCACAGCGCGGCGGGTGGCCGCGGAGCGGCGGGGCCGGACCCGGTGCCTGGCGTGGAGCGCTCCGTCGGGGTTCTCGGGCTCAGCCGTTAAGAACCGCCACCGCCTGTCAGAGCGTCGGCCCGGGCCGAGCCCGCAAGCCCGGCGCGGGGCCGATTCGCCCCGTCCGTCGTCCCAGACTTAGGGGAGGATAGGATGCGCCGCGCGGCACGGACCCGTCCCGTCCCCACAAAAGCGCCCTTGTGCTGGCCCCATAATTGCTAATCATCAATCACCATTAATAACAGCTGATGAGGCGGGAGGGGGAGGCGCCTTCCCAGGGGCCGGCCGCGCCGGGGGGAGCGGGGAGCTGTGCCCCGCCGGAGCGGGCGCTGAAGGAGGAACTCGACCGTGATGTGCGGAAGATGGATGAGAGCAGAGGGCGACACCCCCGCCCGCCTTCCCACCCCACCCCTCCCCTCCCCTCCGCAGCCCGGCCCGGCCCCCCCGCAGCGGGGCGGGCGGGCGGCTCCGAGCGCGCCTCCACTCCGCCGCGCCGAGGCAGCGAGCGGGCGGGCGGGCGGCAGCTCTCGCCGGGCGCCGGAGCCCACGAGAGGCGGCGGGCGGGGGCCGGGGCCGCGGCGGGGCCCGGGGGTGCGGCGAGTTGGCGGCGGCCCGAGCTCGCCGGAAAGTTGGTGCCGGCTGAGCCGGCGGCGCCCGCTCGCCATGCAGAGACCCAGCGGCCAGGGGACCGCCTTTTCCATCGACTCGCTCATCGGGACGCCGCCGCCGCGCTCAGGGCACCTGCTGTACACCGGGTACCCCATGTTCATGCCGTACCGGCCGCTGGTGCTGCCGCAGGCGCTGTCCCACGCGCCGCTGCAGTCGGGGCTGCCGCCGCTCGCACCGCTGGCCTCTTTCGCCGGCCGCCTCACCAACACGTTCTGCGCCAGCCTGGGCCAGGCCGTGCCCTCCATGGTGGCCCTCACCACGGCGCTGCCCAGCTTCTCCGAGCCCCCCGACGGCTTCTACCCGCCGCAGGAGCTGCCCCCGCCGCGTGCCACCCCCGACGCCGGCTGCCGGCGGGGCGCCGAGGGCCTGGAGCCGGAGGAACTGCCCCCGGGGCGCGACAAAGGGCCGCCCGAGCCGCCGCTGCACTTCCCGGACCCCTTCCCAGGCCTGGCAGGTAAGAGAGGTGACGGCGGTCCCGGGAGCCCCGAGGAGCCTCGTGGTGGGCAGCGCCGCCCGCCCACCTCTTCCGCGGGCTCCGTCCGCGCCCTCGGCGCCAGCTGCGGGCGGGCGAGCGGCACCGCCGGCTCTGAGCTCCCCGGGGCGGGATTCCCGAAGGCGGTGCGCCGGGTGCGGGATGCGGCAGGGCCGCGGCTGCAGGAGGTGGGGGGGAGCGGCTCGCCGCTGCGCTTCCGCTCTGTCCCATCGTGCCCAGCGAGGGGACCGGGCCAGCCGCCCTCCGCTCCGGGCCGCCTCTGCGGCGCCCGCAACTTCGGCGGCTCGGAGCCAAACTCCGCTCGCCGCTTCCGGGCCGCGCGGAGCGCGAACCGCCGCAGCCGCCGGTCGGGGCCGTCGTGCGGGGCGGGACGGCAGGACGGGGCGGCGCGGAGCTCTCCGAGGTGCTGCCGACCCGGCCGGCCGAGGCGGAAGAGCCGCGGGGCGGATCCGTCCCGTCCGGGTGCCGGTCGGTGCTCTCTGTAGGTCCGCGCTGCGTACCCGCACGGTGCCGCGCACCGCGGGACGGGATCTCCGGCTGAGCCCTCGCTCTCCCGCAGTTCGGCCCATTCCGGGTCCCGCTTCCATCCCGGCCCCGCGCCGCCCGCAGCCCCGCTCACCTTCGCTCCGGTTCGCTGCGTCCGCGGCCCCGGCGTTGCCAGACGGAGCGGGCAGGCGGCGGCTTCTCTCCGGGCTCCCGCTCGGTGCTGCCCTGAGGCTGCTCCCACCACGGCCCTGGCCTTTGTGAACCTCCCCGGCTACGCACATGCCCTCCCGGTGACTTGTTGCACCGTTTCTCTGCCAGCTCCAGCTCTTGCTCTCTTCCACCCCTGCTCCCGCAGTACGGGGATGGAGGCTGCTCTGCAGCGTGGCTGAGACAAACCAAACGCTGCCCTTCTGTGGCACGGCCTGTTCCTGAGCTCTGCCTCCTCCCGACAGCTCCGAGATCCACCTTTGTCTTAGAGTCTTCCTGGCGTGGATCCGTGCTGAGCAGCCTCTGCAACTTCTTGCAGGGCTTGGCTGTGCTCTGTCCTCCCGTTACACTCCCGGGTAAACCCGGCTGCTCTCCTTGCCCCGACTTGTTCCTTGCTCAGAAGACCGTTGCATGTGTGCAGGCATCCCTTGAAACCACTCTCTGGTTTAGGACAACTGCAGCATTTTGCCTCTCCTTTATTTGTTACTGAGCTTTGATGATCCCTCAGTGCTCTGTGCTGAGTCAAACACCCACAGAGGTCTCACTTTTGTTTTGAAAGTCTTCTCAGGAACAGAACTGCTGTGGCCAAAACCTGCATCTGTGTGATCACATCCTCCCACTCTATAGGGAAACAAGCAGCACTGTGCTTCATCTCCCTCTGTGGCTCCTCTGTACCTGAGCTCAACATGTGCTCCTGAGGGACTCAGATGAGCTGTTCTGAAAATTGGACATTTCTGATATTGGGAAATTGTATCTCTGAGGTTTACCCTGTTGTGACTGTTCTGATGATGGAAGGAAATGTGTCTTACTGCTGCTGTTCACTCACTGCTGCCTGTTAGCAGCTCTCAGCACTGTTCCTGCTCTGAAGTCATGAAGGATGCTTCCCTTTCTGCCCATGTGGTGCCATGAGGGCACCTTTGCCCAGGTCTGAGAGAACTCCTGTATGTAATTTTTCTCTTAACTGTACCTGTCAGGGCCCACAGAGACGGACAGCAGGACTTGTTTTACCAACCAGGTCATGTGGAAACCATGATGGTTACTGTGGGTTTTTTCCACAGACAAGAAATTCAGGGAAATACAATTCCCAACCATAATGCAGTTTTCTGTAGCATCCTGTCCATGGCCCTGGCCAAAACCGATTGTCCAGGGAGGAGTGAGATCCAATGCAATAATTCCTACTGCAGCTTCCTAATGCTGCATCTCAGTGGCTGCTGTTTCTGTGTATGTATCAACCTTTGACCAATTCCTTTTCTATGTTCTTATTTAGTCTCCTCTGGAGCTCACCAGAAAGAAGACAAACTTGGTAATATCTACAAGGTGTTCTGCAGATTTCTTATGTGTTAGAACCGTGCTAAGGGCCTCCTTTTGTCTGTCTGCTGACATGGGGTGAATTATACTCTAAAGAGGTGGTTTCTGTCCCCAGCCTCCATTAGTGCTGGGGAGTCATTGCTCCATTTTAGGACCTCTCTCTGCACCTACTCTGTTTCAGGCTTCCAGTTGTGGTCACACTTCTTGAGGGAGGAGAGGCGCTCAGGGAAAGTGGTGGTAAGAAGCAGTGAAGCCTGGGGGCTGCTTTGTTGCTGCAGCTGCAAGGAGGAGTTTGATGCCCAGGGAATGGCACTCAGAGCACCCTTCACATCCCTCCTGAGAGCTGCAGAGATCTCCACCAACATCCAACCTCTCTTGGGCCCATGCAGTAAATCCATGTTCAGTTGTGTCTGAGAATAATTAGGGTGGAGAAGTATTGTGTTGTTCCCTCTAAATGAGCGTGACAAGGAGCTCTTGAATGTTTAGCAACACAGGGCTCTCTCACAGCACCCATTCTTGAGCCAGGTCCTCCTGACCCTGCTTGAGTAACTTTGCCACCTGTAACGCTCTCCAATCTCTCCTCACCATGCACATCAAATCCATAATGAGGTCAAAGACAAATTGGGATTTTGTGAAGAGGGAAGAGATGGACCAATCCTATTCTGGGTCTTGTTGATTTTTTCAGTCACAACACTTTGCTATGTGCCAACTTCACTACCTGCCTGAGGGCCTTGGAAAGCCTCAGCACACTTCCCACCGAAGGGGTGGGCTCCACTGCCTCCATATTTCCTCAATGAGGACATAGCAAGTTGTAAATGGACCAACATACCAATTTTCTTTGTAAAAACATCTGCTTTACAGTTCACCATGTAGTTTGAGTTCCTTCCTGCAAGCTCAGCCCTTTTGTAAGATACAAACCAGTCGCTGACTTCAAAACCTGTGGTCTGGCTGTGTGTTCAGGTAGCAGCTGCTTCGCGAGGTGATGTGTTGCAGTTGGCAGCTCAGACTTTCTCCTGGTGCATCATTTGCACCCACAGCAGCAAATCCCATCTCAGCACCATCTAATGGTGCACTGCTGGTCCTCTTCTCCATCAGTGCGGAAGGGCAGAGTCTGAGCAGAGCTCTGAGCACTCTTGGAGGAGGCAATGATGTCCTTGTAAGAGCTTTCTCATCTTGTCAGGCCTTGTGTGCCCACAGACAGGGCAAGTGCACAGAAATGAAAGCCCTCCTTCTCTTGGACAGAGCAGCACTTGCACGAGGCTGTGCATAGGCAGCCAGGTGCTTTGTGTCGCCTGCTGCTCATCAGCCCCACAGCACGAAGTTTCCAGGCCATATGTTGCCACGACCGTGGGAGGCCACTCCCTGCTCTCAGCCGCCATGAAGACAGCACTGTCTATACTCCCGTATCAGAGTAGAGATAAAGGTGTTTCTTTATTGCTGCACAAAGCAGGAGGAGCAGAGACACAATTTCAGATCTCCAAAGTCACTGACCTAGTCTTGGGCAGCCACAGCCTTGTGCAGGACGGAGAAGAGATGTGGGAGCCCCACAACAACTGGGCTTGTAAGAACATCTCCTGGGCTCAAGCAATTTCTTGCAGCTGCTGCTGCTGCTCACGTCTTTGCAGCCATCCATTGTCAGGCACCGGAGAGCTGTCCAGCCTTCCTCTGAGGTGAAGAGAGCTTCTGGAGCACCAGTGGCACGTGCTGGTCCCCTGATACTGCTTAGAGACTCAGAGAACTGCTGCTGCTCCATCTGCATGCAGGATTGTATTGAGTGATGGTGCTTCAGCACCAGCTCCTTCCAGCTGCAGTTCCTGCCCTGGGGTTGATCTTGGAGATCTTGGTTTCAGTACCAGAGGGCAAAGCTTTTTCATCTGCTTCTGGTTTCTCCTCTCTCTCTGTGATCCGTGGCTGTGTCCAGGAGCACCTTTTCACTCTATCTACTGGAGGCCTTTGTTGGAATCCTTCTGTCAGGAAAGTGACTGCCTTTCAGTTTGCTTTCTTCTCCACTGTTCCCACCCATGTTCTTTCTTGCTCCATGGCTGTCTGACCACTCAGGCACCAGTTTGGACCACGAGAAACAGACAAGAAGTCTGTCCCGACTGCATCCTTCCAGTATCACTTCAGGTGACATATCAGAGATGTCTCCTGAGGTCTGAATCCTTCCTTCCATCTGGGCTGGTACCTGGAATGAGGTCCTGGCTGTCGGGTGATGCTGGCAGCCTCTGGCCTGTGCCATCGCATAGTGGTGGGGGAACCCAAGATTTGGTCATCAGCTGCCTACACACATTGTACCCCTCTGCTGCAGGGAGGGAGGTATGGCAGCAGATGATTTGTGATTGCCCTACAGAGCTTTACTGGCTGGAGCCAGCTCAAGCTGCTGCCTGGGAAGATCCTGCAGCTCCTCTGGGCTGAGTCTTGATGGATGAACAGTGGTAGATGCAATGGGATGGGGCAGGGGGAGGGCTGAGCTGAGCGAGGAGCAAGGCTCTTGTTTTCCCCTGGGGTTACAGAGGCTGGACAAGCCCTGGGGCTCCGTGGTGCTCTGCTGGGTTGCAGTAGCTCTGCTGTCACAGCAGGAAAGGGGTGGGGGCAGATGCAGGTGGTGCCTCGTCATACCCTGCGGTGCCCACGTATGTGCGGAGTGTGTGGGTGCTGCGGGGACACCGCGGCGGGGTGGGATGCTGGGAGCGGGGCTGCGGGGGCTGCGGGAGCGGGCGCTGACGCTGTGTGCCCCGCAGACGCCAAGGCGTACAGCTCGGACGAGGAGAAGCTGGAGGTGAAATCGGCAGCGACGCCGTGCAGCGAACGGGAGGAGGAGAGCTCGGCGGGCGACAGCGAGGAGGAGCCCTTCCTGGACGGGGCGGCCGCGGCCTCTCTGGGCCCCAAGGGGAAGGGGAAGGGCGGCCCCGCGGCCGAGCAGCCCCCGCCGGGCTCCGGGGCCGGGAAGAGCCGCCGGCGGCGCACGGCCTTTACGAGCGAGCAGCTGCTGGAGCTGGAAAAGGAGTTCCACTGCAAGAAGTACCTCTCGCTGACGGAGCGCTCGCAGATCGCGCACGCCCTGAAGCTGAGCGAGGTGCAGGTGAAGATCTGGTTCCAGAACCGCCGCGCCAAGTGGAAACGCATCAAGGCGGGCAACGTCAGCAACCGCTCGGGAGAGCCCGTCCGCAACCCCAAGATCGTGGTGCCCATCCCGGTGCACGTCAATCGCTTCGCCGTGCGCAGCCAGCACCAGCAGATCGAGCAGGGGGCCCGACCCTGAGCCGCGGCGGCTCTCGGACCCTGGGGCGGGCGGAGCGCCGGCAGCGGGAGGGGCCCGGGGCCGCTCGCACTCCTCTGTACATGTCCCTTATTTATTCCGTGTAAACTCTGTACATACGGCGGCGCGTCCGTCCGTCCGAGCCGCGGGGAGCGAGGGCCGCCTGCCCGCCCACCGCCCCCCGTTCACGCCTGCTCCTGCCCCGCCGGGCCGGGGCCGCGCTGTTCGCCAGCGCCCGCTCGTGTATAGCTGTGATTTCAATAAATTATTTTCTATGGAGTCTCTTCCGCGATAATGCGAGAGGGGGGAGGGAGGCGCGCGGCCGGAGCGGCGGTGCAGGGCGGTGCGGGGCAGGGCTGCGAGTGGCAGCCGTGGATTCGGGGACGCCGTCGAGCCCGGTCCGGTGCCGATGCTGAGACGCGGGAGGGTCCGGGACATGGCGGCGGTCTCTGGAGCATCCCTGGGGCCGCCTCCAGACGGCCGCCCGTTGCCTCTGCCGGAGCCCCTCCTCCGGTCGCAGCTCAACCGAGGCGAACGGTGCCCCAGCGCAGGAGAAATTCCCCCTCCTAGGTCCAATCCACACGCTGGCAGATGTGCGAGGTCCTGCAGGCAATGCCCTGCCCATCCCTTGTGCTATAACTGGCCCTGGGCTAAGCAGACGCCCATGCTGAAGCTTCCTGCCCGCTGCCCCCCTTCCCCCCCGAGGGCTGCTCCAGAGCCCCGCATCAGCTCTGTGCGTGCTCACACTGACAGCACCACCAAGGCCCAGCAATGCAATTCTCTCCAGCTCTCTGTGTTCCAAAGCGAGGAGGGTTGTCATCACTGAGCTGAGCTCCAGGGCCTGATGAAGATCCAGTTTTGCAAAGGGCACAGCTGCACAAACAGTGCTGGGCCAACAGTGCGGGAGGTTGCAGTGCTAACTGGATGTTGGGCCACGAAACCCTCTCCTGCTGGTTGGAAGAACATCAGCCAGAGAGCTCGTGTGGTAGTAACACCCAGTGCAATCCCATCCCAAACAGGAAGAAGGCTCTCTCTAAGGACATGGGATGTTGCTGCTGGGATACTGTTGGTCATTGCACCCCTCCTTGGAACACACAGCTTCTGAGAGTGGGAGACATCCCTGACAGCCATGGCTGATGTCACAGCGATACAGAATCACAGAGTAGTTGAGGCCATGAGCACTTCAAGGTCCTTCTAGTTCCCACCTGAACCAGCAGGGCCACCCAGAGCAGGATGCCCAATGGCCAGGTGGGATTGGAGAACCCACAGTCTCTGGATCCATGTGCACAGCTCCTGCTGTTTTGCTGCACATTTTCCAGACACACTCCCAAGCACAAAAAAAAAAAACAACCCTAACCCATTTCCATGCTACCTGGGGGAGGTTCCCTCTTACAGCCCTGCCCTCCTCAGCAGGTGTCTCCTCTTAGTGGGGAGCATGGCCCCATGCTCATGCAGTACAGCTGAGTCCTCTGGCTTTGGAGCACAAGGGGCTTCTTGCAGCTACATTGGGATGGATTCTGTCTCTGTCCCTTGCATCACTGAGCTGGAAAGGAGATGCAGCCTTCCCTCTGTGGGCTCAGACTGCTCAAGTACAGCATCTGTTGGCATTCACTGTGGATCAGAGTAGTGGGAGTCCTGTGGCAGCTGCCCCCACCATGCTGGGGAGCAGCGGTGCCCTTGGGACACTGCAGCAGAGCCGCCTGCACTTGAGAACTGTGGTCAGCTATCTTCTCTCTTCTTGGGTCCAGTTTGGGTTGAGGTACAGAACATGAACTTACCAGCCTTACATGGCTGCAAAAAGGGACAAATGCCACCTGCAGAACTTGCAGCAGCTCCTGCGCAGGACCTGGGCCAAGCAAGGATGGGAGCAGCAGTGGAGGGGCAAAAGAAAATGTGCAGCAATGAGCAGTGCTGTGTTACTGTAAATGTGTGCATGTGGGGGGGGTGTGCTACTGCCACTGTAACCCTGTGGCACAGCCCTGTGCTCTGAAACACAGCACAGCAGCAGTGCTGGGAGCAGTGCCACTGAAAGGTACTGAAATGCATTTTACAGTGTCAGAGAACCTCCTTTTCTCACCTGGCATTTCCTGATGCTGCAGTTTGGTGAGTCCCGCTCCATCAATTCATTGTGTTCTCATCCCATCTCCCCACCACCACCACTGCCGTGGACACGCACAGCACCGCTGCTGTGGCTGTGCTTTGTTCAGGGACTGCTGGCAGCCAACTGGAGCTTCCAGCTGCTTGAAAGTTATTTGTTTTTTGCCTTTTTATTGTTGACAGTCTGAGAACCATTATACTGTGCAACCCTACAAACACTGATGTTAATGGAACTAAAAGTGCTGCAGAGGGGCAACACTTACTTTGGGTGCTGATGGAAGGGACAGACTCAGTGCCATCATCAGGAGCACTGAGAAAGCTGCAGAGCAGCACAGTGCCCCTCACACAGTGCAGAGCTGAGCTCCTTGTGAGCCTTGTGCATTGCAAGGAGTTTCCTTCCTCCTGAAAGCACCAAGAAAAACACTGCAGCACTCCAGGTGAATGCAATGCATGGCACTGCCTATGCAGCACAATGTGGCTCCAGCACATCCCAGCAGAAGAGCTGCTGGGGCAGAGGGTGCTCCATGAGTCAGAGCTGCAGGTGCTGCACCATTTAGGCTGGAGGGGGAGGACAGCACCAAAAACACAGGCACTAAGGACAGCCCTGCTGTGATGGAGCCATGTGGACAGGAGGAAACCTGAGGGGGTCCCTGCTCCAACATTTGCTCAAAGCTGTCTGTCTGGGGAGGATGCTGAGGAAGGAGTCCAGCTGACCCCAGGCATCTCCAAGGGTGCCCATCCCACAGCATCATTGGGAACCCATCTCAGGGTCTGAAAGCCTTCCTGGGAATTTGCTTTCCATCTGTCTAGTTGGAATTTCCCATGTATAAGCTCGTGCATGGTGCCCTGGTGTAGGTATGGGGAGGAAGAGACTCTCAAGCGGGCACCCAAACACACACACAGAGTATAAGGCAGATACAGTTGTAGGTACACAGACACTGTATTTACATCGACATGCATACATTTATACATGCACATATTTACATATATACACAAGAATTTTTTTGCCCTCATGTTGTCCCCTTTTACCAGGGAATTCTTTCTGCGCAGACCAGCTCACTCATTTACTTGGAAAATGATTCTTGAAGAATTAGGAAAAAGGCAATGATTGCATCAGATGGGATGCTTATTGGTCTCCTCTCAGGATAGGGTTTTCAGTACCACACACGTGGATCATAGCACACTCCAACAGTGAGGCTGCACGGAGAGCTGCTGGCACACAGCGCACTGCTGTGCACTGCCTGGGCTCTCCAGGACCCACTCAGGTGTGCAGTGGAGCTGCTGGAGGCTCCCAGCAGGGAATGCTGTGCTGTGATTTTCAGAGCTGTGCAGTGGTGGTTGGTGTGGGCTTTCTGACCCTGCAACAATGACCTCCTCTCCATGGGGCATACCCTTTGAGATGAATTACACTGTGAAGTGAGCGTCACCATTGCAAGAGCCCTGCTATGCAGAAAGCCTCTACCCCCATGGAGAGAAGGGCTCTGACTGCACACGGGCAGGACAGGAACAACCCTTTCCATAGAATCATAGGATGGCCTGGGTTGAAAAGGACCTCAGAGATCATCTAGATCATCTAGTTTCAACCTCCGTGCTGTGGGCAGGGTCGCCAACCAGCAGACCAGGCTGCCCAGAGCCACATCCCGCCTTTTCCCGCTGGACTGGCACATAGGAAGGGTCAGGAGCTCTGACCACCTGCAGTGCCTCCACAGCCACAACCACAGCACCAGCACAGCTCAAAATGCAGGGTGTAGGGAACGTTGGTAGAGGGCTTGGCTGTGATGACCTCAGCAGCAGAATGCCAGGGCTGCCCATAGCCTCAGCTCCCCCACCTGGTGCTGTGCACAGCCTCACGCCCCAGCCCGATGCTGCCCAAAGCTCCCACTCCACCATCCCTCAGTGCTGCCCCTTTGTACCCACAGTCACAGTCCCACGTTCCCCACCTTGGAGTTCTGTGCAGACCCTGCACTGCACAACTCAATTCAGCTCTCTCTCATGCTGGTTGCATGCTTTGCATCGCTCTGCCTTCCCTGCACCACGCATTCATTCAGGCACTGCTGGGAGGGCGCAGGACCCAGCAAAGAGCTGCTCAGCCCCCAGTCCCATATCAGAGGCACTGATGTGCTCTGGGCCCTTCCCAGATACTTACATGTTGTGCTGGTCCTTGTGGTGTGCATCTGTACAGGGCAGTTTGTTGACACCTGCAGAACTGCTGGGGCAAACGTCCTGGAGAAGGGCTGCATTGGGTGTGTGCTGACACTGCAGCTATCTGTCCTGCACAGCTCTGTGCCTTACGGAGATCCCAAAGGGTGCTCCTAGTGCACTGGGGCAGACCTGGCCATGCTGAGTTGTGCTCATACAGCCCAGCAGTGCAGCCTGAATGGTACCTCACCACAGTCAGTGCAGTGCAGGTGCTCTGCAGCTGTTTGGTGTCAGTACTGGGGATGTAGGGCACCTGTGTTTTCTGCTGGGGCAGCTGTGCTGCTCCCCAGAACTCCATCTCAAGCCCCCACGCATCCCAAAGCACCACCAAGCTGCAGGGCAGGATGCTACTGGAGTGCCTGCAGAAGCCATGGGGCACAGCCCCGCTGTGAAACAGCCCTGTCACCCTGCCCTCCAAGCTCTGACACACTGCACAGCTGGGTACACGGGCATGCAGGAGCTCTGCAGTGACAGCTGCATGGGGACAGCCCATAGGGTCAGTTTTGAGGTCAAGGACAGCATTGCAGGGCGACAGCAGGCGGTTGGCAATGGGGCATCTCCTGCCTCCATAAATGGCTGTGCCTCACTGCTCCAGACCACAGGCAGCTTCAGCTGCAGGTCCCCTGCTGCTGCCCCACAGTGCTCACTGCCCACGGTGGCCCTACTGCCCACATGAGCTGGGAAAAGGACTTTGGTCCCTTGTCTGAGCTCTGCCACACCACATCACTGCCGGCACTGGGCAGCTGCTGGCTCCCAGGATGTGGGCAGCAGCAGGGAGTCGCGTTGGCAGTGCCATTGCCAGCAGGACAGCGGGTTGGGTGTCACTGCCACAGGACCTGGCTGCAGTGCTGTGGGTGCTCTGGGGGCTGCACGCTGCTATGGGCACCGTGTGGCCACGGGGGGCTGCTCAGGGCTGCATCCTCACATGGCCCGCGGGCATGGCCACAGCGCTGACCCCAGCGCCAACGCTGGGGGCTGAACGTGGGGCCGTGCCCATGGCTGGGGCCGTGCCAGCAGAGCCCTGCACTGGGGGCACGGCAGGGCCGGGGCAGGGCGGGATGGGAAGGGAGGTGCCGGGGCTGGGCCGGGCGGGATCCCGCACGGGAGATGATGTATGGGCAGATGTATCAGATCGCACAAGATAAACAAGCAGTGAATTTCATCAGGGCCCATCATGGCTTTAATTTGGCTGCCTAATGAGTCAGATCCAGCCGCGCAGATAAAAGTTGTCAGAGCCGCAGCCCTAATGAATTTCTTGCCACTTGTAATCAAGGCAGCTTGTCTGAGGGGGATGATTAATGGGCCCCAGAGGAGCTGCCGTCCCTCGGCTTCCATTCCCACTAATGCAGTCGCCAGGAAATTAACCAAACCCAGCACCGGGCCGGGGCCAGGGAGCGCGTGCGGCTGTGCGGGGGCAGCGGAGAGGCCGGGCTTGGAGCGGCAGAGCGCGGGGCAGCGCAGGAGGGGCAGCACGGGGACATCGGCACACGTGAAAGTGTTCCGGCACCGGAGGAAGGGAACGTTCCTCACCCGCAGCCTCCAGAGCGGCAGCCCCACCGCGAGAGGGGAGAAGTGAGGCTGGCAGGGGGCTGCAGTGGGGTGCCTGCAGCGGGGGGAGGTGTTCCCTTGGTATCGCACAGGACCGGGGGGGCACACAACCCCGCATCCCACCCCGGTGCCGTGGCACAGCCCCCCGGGGGTCCGGCGCTGCCGTCAGCAGCGGCGGTGAAGGAGGAAGGGCTGAAGGTCTGCGTCTGTGCCAAGAGCGCAGCAGAGCCCTCAGTGCGGGCGCGGAGCCCCGGGGCAGCACACGGAGCCACGCTGGCAGGAAGTGGATGCTTTATTGGCCTTCATCTCCTTGGCTGCAGGTAACACACACAGGGCAATTCATGGCAAAGAAACACTATATACAGAGTGTCCATATAAATATTTCCAATGTACACTTTATACACAAGTGATGGAGACGTTCCACATCAGCGCTCGAAGCCTCGGGGTCCCGGTGCTCAGCTGCAGGACGGCCCCAAGCAGAGCAGGCGCTCCGCTCCTCCCTCCTGCTCAGCCACGGGGCGCAGTGGGACCCGCGGGGTGGAGGCACTGTGCATGGCTGTGGGGCTTCAACCTGATGGGACAGTGACTCTACACAGACAGACAGACACAGATGGGCCCCAGAGCGTCCTCTGCCCCCCTGGTAAGCAGTGGGGCTGAGGGGGTCCGTCCAGGGGCTGCAGGGAAGGACATTCCCTTGGCATCAGTGTGTGGGGGGGGTGGCAGTACCAGCGAGGGGACCCCCATACTGGCCAGAAGCAGAGAGGGCCAGAGGGCTGTGGTGAAGAAGCGTTCATCTCCCACTGCCCCCCACTGCCCCACTGCACTGGGGCACCTCACAGCCAAACGGAGGACAGAGGGACAGGGGTCCCCATACCTCTGCACAGGGGTGGGCAGCACCCTGGACCACCTCCAGCCCTGCACTACCTACATATGAGTGTGGTGGGGGCACACAGGAACTGTCTCTCCTTCCCCTGTACCGGTCATGAAATGGGGGTACCGAGTCCCCATCCAGAGTATCCTCTGCACACAGGCAGCGCTGGGCCCCTTCCAGCCGCAGAGGTCCCAGGAGCTGGGCACAGCACAGCTGGTGCGGGGGTCCAGAGGGGAGCACACAGGGAACAGCCCTCAGCCCCGCTGCGGGGAGCTACACTGCGCTGGGGCTGGTGCTGAGCTCGGGCAGCACGGCAGCGCAGGTGTTGTTGTTGGCGTTGGCGTTACGGCGGGGCAGGCTGGGGGTCAGCGTGGCACCATCGCTGGGACAGCCGTGCTGCAGCAGGATGTCGATGCACTCCTGGCTGCCCGCACGCCGTGCGTAGGCCAGTGGGGTCAGACCCCGGGCATCCCGACTCTTCACATCCACCCCGTACTGCGCAGGAGAGAAAGCGGCCGTCAGTGGCACCCACGGCACATGGCTGGCTCCATGGCACTGGGTGGGATGTTGGGGAGATGAGCAGCGCTCAGGGCACTGCTGCTGGGCTGGGAGGAACCCAGGGGAGCAGATGCTGCGCCGCAGCCTTACCCAGATGAGCAGCTGCGTGAAAACAACGTTGGCCATGGCGCAGGACAGGTGCAGCGCCGTGCGCCCATCGCCGTCCCCATAGGTCTCGTTGACCTCCTCCTTGGTGCCGTGTGCCAGCAGTGTCACCACCAGGCGCAGGTCGTCCTCCACCACCGCCCGCAGCAGCTGCTGCCCCAGTGGGATGTCCGACTGCGGCAGCGGCGCCAGGAACAGCTTCTGCTCATACTTAGCGCGGATCCAGCGCTCCTTCTCCTCCCTGCGGGTGGAACAGCATCACACGTGTGCCAACACAGCTGGGCTGTGCCGTGGGGTGGGTGCACCAGCACTGCCGTTTGAGCATCCTGTGCGTCACGTGCAGACACCGCTGCACAGTCCCACGTGCACGGCTGTCACCGGGGCTCTGTGCTCATCACGTCGCTCCCGGCACACGCGGGGCACACACCTGTCTGCACTGACCTAAGGCTCTGTGCACCTCCAAGCGCTTGGGCCTGTGCTCACACGCAGAGCTACAGCCCTCATGCTGCACGGCGATCCTTCGGGCCCCTCCACGGACTGCCCCACGCTCCCCTGCCCGCACCATGCCAGCCCAGGGACGGCCAGCCCCGTGCTGCAGCCCGCCGGCAGCAGGGAGGGCTCGGTGCCGCGCAGTGTTATCGGCAGCGTTATCGCTGCTGCCGTCTCGCCTGCAGCCAACAAAGGCTGTGGCAGCGTCCGTCCCGCCTGGGGCTGCGGGGCCGCCGGATCGATGCGCGCCGTGCCGCCGCTATCTGCTGCCATTCTATCCATCTGCATCTGGCGGCCGGCCATCAATGCCCCGCGCTGAGCATGCTCACTGCAGCCGCCCCCTGACCCGCTCTTATCCGCTGATAAGCGGCAGAATGGGCTCTTGTTGGGATGAGTGACAGCAGAGGCGCTCCGATAGGGACAGACAAGGGCCTGAAAGGGACGCACCCCTGAGACCCGCAGGCGCTGCCAAGTGTCTGTTAACCCCTTCTGCCTCGCAGCCAGCTGGGCTCCAGCAGCCAGCGTGCGGCCATAAGCCCTGCCGGGTCCTGATGGGTGGGACAGCCCTGCCTGGAAGGAGCGGCCCTTTGTTTCCTAAACGGACACTGTAAGAACGGGACAGACTTCAGCGGGTCTGTTGTGACAGAATCACAGCATCACAGAATGGCTTGGGTTGGAAGGGACCTCAAGGATCACGAAGCTCCAACCCCCCACCAATGCAGGGCCACCAACCTCCACATTTCACAGCAGCCCAGGCTGCCCAGGGCCCCATCCAACCTGGCCTTCAACACCTCAGGGATGGACGGGGCATCCACAGCCTCTCTGGGCAGCTGTTCCAGCACCTCACCACTCTCACAGCAAACAACTTCCCCCTCACATCCAACCTCAGACTGCCTTCCCTCAACTTCAAACCATTTCCCCTCATCCTGCTGTTATCTACCCTTTCAGAGTTGAGTGACAGGACAAGGGGAAATGTTTTCAAACAAAAGGAGGGGAGACGTAGACTGGAAATAAGGAAGAAGTTGTTTACAATGAGGCGTTGGCGTGGTTTGCCCAGGGATGTGCTGGGTGCCCTGCTCCTGGAAACACTCCGGGTCAGAGGACAGGGCTCTGAGCACCTGATGGAGCTGTGGGTGTCTCTGTGCACTGTGGAGAGCTGGGCTACACAGCCTTTAGAGGTCCCTTCCAACTCCAACCATTGCATGATTGTGATTACTGCGTCCAGTGAGTATTGTGTTCTGTGGGTACTGTGTCCAGTTCTGAAGCCCCCAGCACAAGAAGGACATGGAGCTGTTGGAGCAGGTCCAGAGGAGGTCATGAAGATGATCAGAGGGAGCACTTCCCCTACAGGGACAGGCTAAAAGAGCTGGGTATCTTCAGCCTAGAGAAGAGAGGACTCCGAGGAGACCTTACAGCAGCCTTCCAGTACCTGCAGGGGCCTAAAGGAAAGCTGGGGAAGGACTTTTTTATAAGGGCAGGTAGTGACGGGACCAGGGGAAATGTCCTTAAACTGGAAGAGGGTAGATTTAGACTAAATATTAGGCGAAATGCAGTACTGTGAGGGTGATGAGACACTGGCACAGGTTGGCCAGCGAGGCTGTAGATGCCCCTCCCTGGAAGCAGTCAAGGCCAGGATGGATGGAGCTTCAAGCAACCTGGTCTAGCAGGAGGTGTCCCTGCCTATAGCTGGGGGTTGGGACTAGATGATCTTAAAGGTCCCTTCCAACCCAAATCACTCCACGATTCTATGATTCTGTGATGCTGTGACATCCCAAGAGCAGGCAGACCCTGGCACAGCTGTGGCTCTCTGCCCATCCTCTGCTGATTGCTCCCAACCTCCCCACCGGACGTCGCGGTGCGGCTGTGAGCGCTGTCCCTGCAGCCCATCCCCTTACCGGCTGCTCTCGGGGGTGGGTTTGGGGTACCCCTCCACAGCACCCTCCCAGACGGCGTTGGCCAACGCGTTGCCGATGGCGGCCATCAGGGTGAGCAGCTCGCCAGGCCAGTCGTCCAGGTCCAGCGAGCGCACGCGGGAGAGGTGCGTGCCCAGGTTGCGGTGGATCCCAGAGCACTCGATGCACATCAGGGCACCCAGGTTCAGGCTCGCCCAGTCAGGATCTGCAGGAGGTGACATCAGAGGGGCACAGCCAGCACGGGCACATCAGCCTGTTCCCCTCCCGTCACCCCGCAGACCCTCCCAGGCATCCCAGTGGCATGGAAGCAAGGACCCCAGGGACCAGCAGGGCATAGGGGTCAATCCTGCAAGGCCCTTCTCACCCCTAACGACTGGGTCCCCAAGGAGGGGACAGAGCAGCCCCACAGCACAAATCCCCCTGTGGTCAGGGAGGTGATGGTGTGCTGCCCCTGCCCACCCCTCCAGTCCCCCCAGCACGGTGTTCCTTACTGGGCGCATCGCAGTCCACGCAGAAGCTGTTACCCCGCGCAGTGCGCACTGCCTGCATGGCCTGTGCATCTCCCTGGCTGCCCAGCCGTGCCTGAAACAACACCATACAATCTCAGGTGGTCCCAGAGCATCCTCTGGACCACCACGCCCAGGGTCACCACCCTAGAGCCATTGGGAGCCCCAGTGCTGTGCTGTGGGGGTGTAGAGTGCAGGGTTCCTGAACACCAGAGAGATCTGGAGGGATCTGAGGGGCAGGTCTGGGGGCCAGGAGGAATAGAGCTCCCCGAGGGGCAGAGCAAGATGAGGGGCTCTGTGGGGCACAGCCGAGCTGGGGAGGGAACCCAGAGAGGTGATGGGAACACAGGGAGGGAGTGCCACAAGGACGGGACACAACCTGATTGGGAGCAGAGGGATGAGGATGCATTCAGCCCAGGGCAGGTGTAAATGCAGCAAAGAGATGCCAAAGAGGAGGGATGAGGTAGCATGCAGCTGCCCTTACCTTGTTCTTGCTGCTCTCACAGCCCTGCAGGCTGGCCAGGATCTGGCTCTCGATGGCCTGCACCCAGAGCTCCCGCTCCTCTGACGTTGAGGCCTCAAAGAGCCACGTCTGGCCCGTCAGGGACACGATGATGAACTCAAAGGGTTCGTCTGGCTCTGCAAAACAAAGGTGGTGGCACCGTCAGGGCTGTGCCTTGTGGGGTGCAGGCATGGCAGAGACAGCGGTGTCCCCAGGGGAGGAATGGGAAGACAAACAGGGAGGACCCAGGGATCCAAGCCAGCCCAGTGCTGCTGCTACACAGCTCCATCTGGGCACACATCCTCTGCCATGCACCAGCAGCTGCAGCCATGTTCCCTATTGCCCTGGGCTGTGAATGCTGTGGGTCTGTGAGCTACTGGAGCCCTGCTCTCCATGCCTCACATCTCCCAGTCCCTGGAGAAAGCTGCTGCCAATGGGAGCAGCCCCTCTGAGGACCTGCAGCCCCCACCAGCCCATCATCCCCATGGGCTGCCCTACACAGCACAGTGTCCATACCCCGCAGCAGTACCAAAGGTCGCAGCCCATTATCAAAGCCCTTCTCTTGCTCTGAAACACACAAGATCCAATTCCTGACCTCATGTCTTTGGAGAGGTATTTCTGGGGAGCCCCATAGCTGCACACGTGCCTGGATGTCGGATAGAGCCATCCCTCTGGGTGCAGGATGGGCTCAGGGGTGGTGCGGAGCATCCCTGCATCGAGCTGCAGCAAGGGGATGGCGAGCACCTGGCTGAATATCTCAGTGCCCTGCACATAAGGAAAAGGCCCCAAAACAACCAAATGCTGGACACAAAATGTGGCCACTGCTGGGCTCTCTGCACTGCCATCCCAACCCAGGCAGGGCTCAGCACCACCCTGCCATGCGCCCAGTGCCTGCACCCACCTTTTATTGCCAACTCCGGTAGTTAGTGCAGTAAATGACTTAACTAAGCGGGGCCTGAATGGAATGACTAATAAACGTTATGTCACAGCACACGCTTCAGCTCATAGCAAAATGATTTGTAATTACCTAATTAGCGTTATGCAAATAACACCCTCATCTCCATAATGTGCCTTCCCAGCTCTCTATTAAAAGCAGAGTCAACCGCATGGCTCCGGAGGCAGCGCGGGGCCAAGAGCCGGGTTTGGGGCTGTGCCTGGGGGTGAGCAGGTCCTGCCCACAGCTGGGGGAGGCAGGGGGGGCAGCAGGAGGTTGGGAGCTGCTGACCAGAACCCACAGACCCACTGCGGGGACAGTGAGCTGCTGGAGAGCTTTGTGGGCTGGACATGGCTGTGCCCACACACATGCCCCATTGGTCTGCTGCCGAGGGAAGGCTCCGTGGGGAGGGACAGCTGTGTCCCCTTGCAGGCTCATGCTTTCCTTGGAGGACCACCACTCACAGCTCTGTGCCTCCTGCACAGCTCAGCTCTCACTCCAAACAACGTGAAGGTAAACGTCATCCCTGTGCCACGGTGCAGTGCCATGCTCCTCACACAAGCTCATGATTCCGTGCCTCTTCTGAGAGTAAAACACCCAGAGACACCCAGTTCTGCGTTGCACCCTGCACAGAGCCCAGCAGCACCTGTTGGGGTTGGGAGCACGGACAGGGTCAGGAATGCAGGGCCCAGTCCCACATCAACAGACGTTGGGAGGATGGAGCAGCCCAGGACGAGGGTCCCAGATGCAGTGCCAGCTGCCTGCCCTTACCCATGGATGGGGATGCTGCTCCATGCACTGCACCCTGCACTCAGCTGGAGAACGCCTCTAGGGAAAGCTGCCAGCACTGCCCCTCTCCTCAGAAATGGGAGGTGTGGGGCAGCACGGGAGGAGGCAGCGGGTGCCAGCAGTCACACTGCTGGGCTCGTCCCCTCAATGCTGCCCTTACCTAAGGTGAAATGATGCTTTGCATGCTCCGGCCCTACCTCCAGCTGTCAGAGTGCACAGCACAAAACCCTGCAGTCAGTTTGCCTCTGACCCTGAGAGATTCACTGTGCACGCCCAGAGATGGCCAACACCAGCTCAAAACAGCCCCGTTCCTTCCTCTCACTGCTCAGTACCTCTGCACCGTACACCACTGCAGCCCAAACCCCCCTGCACCAGCACGTGCCTGCCCTGCAGTGCCCGCCTGCCTCTGGGGCTGCTCTGAGCTTGGGGTCCCAAGCTCAGCATTCTCCTGGACAGCCCTGTGGCTCTGGGGATGTTCTCACCGCGGGGACATTCTGCAGCCCCACAGCCCTGCCCCAGCACCGCAGCCTCCCCCTGTGCACGCTGCCGGACCTCAGTTCTGTCCTCCTTTGTGCCGCATGGATTCCAGCCCAGCGCTGAACAAAGGGCCGCTGCTCCTGCAGCCCGCCAAGAGCGAACAAAGGGCGGCTGCTCTGCTCCCATACTGGGCTCCTTTCTGCAAGGGAAAGCACCACTACGCCCTGCAGCAGCTCGGGGCAGTGCTGCAGGGATGGAGCTCCCGAGGGGCTTGGGAAGGCTGCAGGATGGCAGTGGGATGGCAGCAAGGAGGTGTGGGATGGCAGTGGGATGGCAGTGGGATGGCAGTGATGGCTGTGGGTGACAGAGAGGGCTGTCCCAGGGCTGCTGCAGCACCCATCTCCATCATCTCCCCTCTCCCGGCCCACGGGGTGCTGGTGGGAGTCCATTATGCAGCTCCATTAGAATTAGTGGGCAGTGGAAATGAAGGAGATCGCCTCTCTCCCTCTTGATGATTTTTTGATGATGTTTTAAAGACTGAGCTCCGTGAAGAGCTGCTGAGCAGAGCTCGGCACGATGCAGCTCTGCTAATGGGCGTTAACCCCCCGACCCTGCTCCAACGCTGCCCGGCAATGAGTGCTCCAAATGAGAGCAAAATTAACGAGGGCACCGCGCAGTGCCAGGACGGGGCAGGGCATGCAGCACTTGGACACGGGAAGTGGCCACATCACCACACTGAGCACGCTGAGGGCTCCTGCGGGCAATTGGCCCTTAGGGACTTATCATGCCCAGTCCCACCATACACACAGCCCTGGGAGGAAACAGCTGTCCACAGAGCCACAGAGCTGCCCGGAGTAAAGCTGTCCAGCAGAGCACGGAAATGGCACTGCCACCTTGCAGCTGGGACACCTGAGGTAGAAGCAGCACAGGGAGAAAAAAGGGGAGCATCGGCATCCCAGAGCTCATGCCAAGGCCTATTTGCTCAGCTCTCAGCAGGGGGATCTGAGCAGAACCGGTACCTTCGGGTGGCTTTAGCACCCGGTGGAGCGCATCGACCTGTCCTGCTGGGGAGGGCTCAGTTCACCGCCGCAACGGCAGAACAGCAGAGCACAGCAGAGCCCTGCAGGACTCCCAGGAGGTGGCACTCCCTGCTGCAGGACAGCTCCCCCGGGCTGTGCCCCCCAAGGGGTCCCCAACACACAGCTCTGCTGCTGAGCTCCCGCAGTGCCCAGGAGCGGGCAGCCGGGCCCCCAGCCCCGGGATGCTTGTTTGCAAGCTGCCACTGTACCACATCATTATGAGGTGTTTGGGATATCAACAAATTAGCAGGCGTCTGGGAAGAGAAGGATGCAGCACCATTCGTAAATGTCAGCTCGCTGCCTCCTCATTTTGCAGATCATTAAACCCAATATTCCTAACCTGTATTAGTGCAACGGGGACGGGCCCCCTCCACAGTGACGAGCCGCCAGGAGAGCTGCAGAACATTGCTATGGAGACCCTGCAGTGCTCCCGGCCCTGAGCCAGAGAGTTCTCCATGGCCCCACGCCGAGCCAGCACCTTCTGCCATGCCCTGCCCTGCCCTGCCATGCCATGCCCAAGGGTTGTGTGGGGCTGTGGGCGGTGGGGCTGGGGACTGACATCCACAGAGATGTACAAACTCAGCTGGGTTAAGAGCATCCATCCTGAGGCACCGGATACGTGTGTGCACACGTGTAAGCGTGCACAGTGGGGAAGGACAACAAAAGCAGCTGAGCAGGAGCAGTCAGGACTGGGCGATGCTCCTGCGGGATGCAGGGAGGGGCACTGAGGTCTCCACGGACTTGGGCTGTCAATCTGTGTGCATGGTGCAGGGCATGCAGGCAGCATGCGGGGCTCAGGGGCACCGACAGGGCGATGCCACGCACACGTTGTGCTGCGTGGGGCAGGCGGGGGCTGAGCATCGCACTGAGATCCCGGCAGTGCAGTGTGCATGGCTCAGCCCCGTGCTCACAGCTCAGCCCCGTGCTCACAGCTCAGCCCCGTGCTCACTGCTCAGCCCTGTGCTTGCAGTTTAGCCCTGTGTTCAAAGCTCAGCCCCACGCTTGCAGCTCAGCCTCGCGCTCGCAGCTCTGTGCCGTCGGCCCCGACAGCCGCTGACAGTTGGCATTAATCACGCACCGCGCCCCAACACAACTCTTTACTGGCCATCAATTTCCCATGGGTTTTAAAACTAAAAAACAAAGACAAAACCGCGTCGTTTGGCCGCCGCTGAGCAGCACATTAAGGGGCTGTCAGCTTCTCGCCATGCACCCTGCATCACTCTTTAAGCACATGAGAAGTTCATTATCCCCGGAGCTCTGGCAGCCGCGGGGATGCTGGTGCAGGGAGCGTCACGAAGGTGCTGCTCTGACTCACGGCCCCGCGCCGCTGCCACCAAGCAGAGCCACGGCAGGGCACCAGGGGGGCACAGGGCTCGGCTGCAGGGATGGGCACTGCTGCTGCGTCCCTGCAGCGCCTGCAGCCCAACGCCAGCACCTAGCGCGGTGCCGTGCTGTGCCACTCCGGGCACAGAGCAGCCGCGGTGCTCCCGCAGCCCGTGCAGCTCTGCACTGCTCATGACAGCCCGGCAGCCCAACAGCACGCCTGCCAGAGTTTGCTGATGCTCCCTAGCAGCCTGACACGGCGCTCTCTTTAACATGCGCCCATGTAAAAAAGCAACAGCTCGTTTGATTTATGATACTTCAGAACAACTAAGATTCAATTGCTCTGCACGTCCCCGGCTCTGATTACCTCCTAAATGAGATAAACCGATGGCAATTTATCCCCAGACCTCACCAACTTTCCCAGGATGCTCACCTGAGCTGCGTGCCTGGTGCACACAGGTTGGGGCCGGTTGCAGCTCCTGGATCTCCCACAGGCACCCGCCTGCAGGGCCTCACAGTGGGGCTCTGCCAGGTCCTGTGCAGTGGCTCTGCTTGTGGAACCATCCTCTCACTGTCCCCATGCCCCCTCGTGTCCCCTCCCAGCAGGAGCAGCACTGGGGGATGCTGGCACCAGATGCAGAGCACTGCAGCCCCATTCTGCACAGCAGTTTTACACTTTCGCTGTGTTGGCTGTGTGAAAGCAAAGAGCTCGGGTGATCCAGCTGTGAAAGTACTGCTGGTAAATGTGCAAAAGCAGATAATAAAGAAGCAGTGAAGAATCAGCCCTACGGACACTGTCCATGACATCAGCCACCAGCCATGCCCACTACATGGGGCAGTGCTGAGCCCCAGGTTCACCACCAGAACCAAGTGCAGACATCAGGACATGGGGGTGGGACCTCACACGGAGGCTCATTCATTACTCTGGTTTGCTCGCTGCTCGTTTGGCTTCTGATGCAGATGACCACGCGGTGAGCTGGCCGTGGCTGCAGCCCAGCACACAGACCCCAGCCCTGCCACAACCACTTCCAGGGCTGCAGGTCCTGGGGATGGGCCCCGTGCTGCAGGGCAGGTGCTTCAGCCCCATGCCAGCAGGGTGGGCTGTGATGTCCCCTCCAACCCAGCCATACTGTGCTTCCCTGAAAAGGACTGCCTCGGCTCTCCCATTCGTATGGAGCAGAGACATATGGAGCACTTCCCATAGCCATTCCCAGGGTGGAAAACCACAAAGGACGGAGCTGGAGCCACAGGTGACTGCTGCTCACAGCCCCAGGAGCTGCACACAGCCTGGCTGCAGGAGCAGCACGCTCTGCCCGGGTGCCAGGGGCTGCAGGCAGGAGCCACAGCTGTGTGCCGGGTCTGCGCCGTGACAAAGGCAGGTAGCTGATACCTCCCTGAGAAATGATGTTCCATGTTGATGGATGTGAAGCAGTGCACTTGCAGGAAAAAATGACGTTATTCCAACAGCTGCCAAAGTTCTGCATTAACTCCATCGGCCTGAAGCAGGGCTGGGTACCACTGCACAGCACGGCACTGTGGGCAGGGAGCAGGGAAGGGGACAGCAGAGGGTACTCAGTGCCCTCATACACTGCATGGCACTGCACCACCACGTGCTATTCCCATCACTCCACCTCTCGAGGACACTGCCAACAGTGAGAGATGAGGGTCCCTGCGAAGCTTCCTATGAGATGGGAGAGGATGGGACGGGCTGAGATGCACAGACTGGGGTCACAGCAGCTCTGCATCCACAGGCGGCAGAGGGCAGAGACTGTGGGACCAATGCATCTCCTGGAGAAGGAGTTCATGTAATTGTGAAGCTCTGAGCAGCTGCTGGTCCGCACTGCTGGCTCGTCAAAGCGTGCTCATTTTTAATTACTCTCTCCACTAACTGTATTCAGTTTTGCACAGCTTCAGATCTTTGCCTTTGCACCTTCCTGTGCCACAACCATCTGTGTTGCACTCCAGAGCCGGACTGCTCTGTGAGCACTGATAGCAGCAGCCCTTCAGCCCTGCACCTCCCACCCTTCTTCCTGGAGAGCCGAAACCTTTCACATCCACATCACAAACAAAGCCATCAGCCCCAGTGCCACTTTGGGATCTTCCCTCCAACGCTGCAGTATCTCCAAGCCCTCCTGCAGTGTCAATCACTGGGTGGGTCACAGCACTGCCTGCTTACACCCATGTACAGGTACAGAATTGCTGCACTCTGACAGCCCACATGTCACACGTAGAGAATGTGCCTCTCCCTGTCACAGTGCTGGGAGAGCTGCAGATGTGGGGAAGGGCAGTGAAGTGTCCAATAATCACCACCCATCACAGCTAAGCACGCACTGGTCTAACATGATGAACGTACAGCAATACTTCTTGCCTGCCATGAGACGCCCAGTGCACATCACAGACCCGAATGACGCGGGAGGTACCGGAATCAAACGCCATAAGGGAAAGTCCTTCCCAAACTTGGTGTCATTCAGGTAAAGATCAACTGCATATGGAGTAAACCAGAGCTGCTGAATCCCCCTGCAGACCTTCACCAGGATGCTTTCCGAGGGAGGAATGACAAAGAGCTGCTCAGGCACAGCAGATACAGCCGAGGGCTGCAGCTGCCCTGGGATGGGACAGGACAGCAGCATGGCCATGGCGCAGGACAGACTCCACTGCACCTCGTGTTACAAACAGCATCTGCTCTGATGCCTGAACTTAGCCCCACTTCTCCTTCAGCCACCTGAACTCCATCCTTAGTTTGCTTCCTGCAGAAGCTCACTGATGGCTGCAGGACACGGTAACCTCAGATGGCACCCAGTACCTGAGCACAGCGCTCTGCAGAGGCCAGCCACAGGTTCAGGCCCTTAGAACTGTGCTGCACTGAGCTGTGCCTGCTGATGTGGGCAGCCTTCACGCAGCCCTGCACAGCTCAGGCTCTGCTTCAGAGGCACAGATACCCACAGTGCCTGGCAGAACGCTGCCCGCTCCATCACACTGTGCTCCCCTGCAGCAGATGAACACCTCCAAAGACCCTCACCTGGAGGCAGACCAGCAGGCCTTCCAACGGTGGAAGCGTGGCAGATTCACAAGCACGCAGAAACGAGCTCCTATGGCAGAGAGCATCTGCAACCTTCTGCATGTCTACGCACACTGTAACCGTACGTGCGCTCCCAGCCCTGCTGATACAGCCCATAATTGCCACTACCACTAACGTGCACACAGCAGCACGCTGGCAGTCCTGCTGCACCGCAGGTGGGACACCACGGGCAGATTCAGGGGTGACGGCTCCCTGAAGAGGCACCAATGAGTTGGGCAGGAGCACCCCGTGCCCCGGTGTCCCTGCGCCGCGGAGCAGAGGCTGCCTACCTTCAGCCGCCGTGCTGGGGCCGTCGGGCCGCGTCGTCCCCGTGCTCTTTTTCCTGCGGTGCTTCTTCCTGTTGGCATGCGGCGACGGGGGCGGCTCCAGCTTGGGGCTGGCGGCGGTGGAGATGTTGGGGCTGGAGCTGAGGGAATCGGCAGTGCCGTTGGCTATGGACAAAGAGAGAGAAGATGATGTACAGCGGGAGGCACCCGAGGGTTCAGGGACGGCAGCAGCGCTCTGCCTGGCTGCAGCTGCACAGCCCCGACCTGCAGACAGAGCAGGAACTGAGCTGCTCAGCACTGGGTCTGGGGCCGGAGGGTCTCCGTGTGGGTCCCTATGCTGTATGGGTCTCCACGTGGGGGCCCGTGTGAGTCCCTACGCGGGGTCACCCTGGGCATGGGGACTCTCTTCGGGGGGCTGCTGAGGGTCGCTGCCAGCACTCGGATGGATGGGACACGCACAGGCACCATGCAGGGCAACGCCTGTGTTTGGAAGGGACAGTGCAGCACGCTGCCATGTGCAGCCCACAGCCCTGCACCTCCGCAGCCCCGCGCCCTGCACGGCCTCGCAGATGAGGCGAGGGCTTGCCACGCTCGGGAACCTGAGCGCAATGGTCTCCATAGGCTCCCGATATGGAGCTGAAGAAGCTGCATCCCCAGCAGCAACGCACCAAATTTATCCTCAATCATACTGTTCCTTACAATTAATAGCAGAATTAGAAACAATCAGGGAGCTGCCTAATTACTGTCAATTAGAGCGCGCTAATCAAGCTCCGATCACACACACACACGCTGCCGCTGCACTCACCATTAAATGTCAAATTTCATTAGAGACCAGCAACAAAATCAAAAGCCTGACATTCAATTTCAGCAGCACACACAGCGCAGGCTTCCAATCAGCATAAAAATGCAGACTCCGGGGAAGGCAACGAGGCGCAGGAGCCCTCGCTGCTCGGTTAACCCTCTCCGAAATGTGCTCCTGCCTCTGTGTGCCCACAGCTCCGCTCCGGCCCCGCTGCCCAGCACGGTGCTGCAGCGTTGGGCATCCCAGCGAGCCGCAAGCGCAGCCCCAGGGCTGGTGGCACCGGGGAGGGAGCGGTCCTGGTGGCGCCCAGCAGCACGGAGCTGCCTGCTGAGCTGTGTGTGTGCATGGCCAGGATGGGACGTGGTGGCACAGCTCTGCCGTGCCAGGTTCCTGCTGGATCTGATGCACACGAGTGGGGCGTTGCTGCTGCTATTAATCCATGGGGAAATAGCTCACCCTTGGCAATTGAGAGAAATAAATCTAATAAAATCAGATCCCACTTTATGGATATAAATTACCTCTGCCGTTCGGCAGGACGGGGCCTGCAGGAGGTGTGAGGTGCCTCCCACCCCCAAGCCCAGCACTGCAGGGATCTGAGCTTTCCCACCCGAGGGACCGTGGTGCACCCCCGTGCTGCCTGCCTGCTCCCGCACCCCCGTGCTGTGCCACACCTCAGGGCTGTGGGGCGCCTGCAGCCTGCACTGACCCTGTGCCCCCTCTGCACAGCAGCCATCACCCAGCCCACGCTGTCTGTGCTGCCCTGCAATTGTTGGTACAGAACTGAAGCTGGGGACTTGCAGGGTCCTGGCAATGTCTGTGCCAGCTGTGCAGCCCTCCTGAGGAGCTCACCAAGGTGCACGTGGGAGAGGACAGGGGGGAATGGCTTTAAACTAAGAGGGGAGATGTAGGTCGGGCGTCGGGAGGAAACTCTGCAGGGAGGCCCCAGCAGTGCTGCTCAGAAATGCGGGTGCCCCATTCCCGGAGGTGCCCAAGGCCACGGATGGGCCCTAGGCAGCCTGAGCAGGTGGGGGCACCCAGCCAGGGGTGTCCCTTCCACGCGTCCTATGTGATCCCGTGGCTCTACGATCTCCTGGAGCGGGCGCTCTCAGACCTTTGGCTCTGAGGAGAGACCCTCTCCCCGCCGGCCCTGGGCACGGAGCAGCCCTGCAGCACAGCGGGGCCGTGCCATACATGGGCAGTGCCCAGAGCATCCCCCCCCCGGCAGCACGGCCGCTCCGTGTCCAGGGCTCGGGCTGGGGGGGCCGTGGCACATTACTGCTCAGAGCTGCGCCCTTCCGCTGCCGTCGCCGCGCTGCCCCATCAGCAGTAACAGTCTGATTAATTCGCTTCCAGCAGGGAGCTGATGGGGCCAATGATGGAGCCGCTGCATCAGGCGCGCTGAAATTGATAGTTTTTCACAGTTACAAATGAGGAGCCTCCTCAGCTGCAAATGGCGCCCGCACAGTCGGACTCCGGTAATGATCATAAAGAGGCTCTCTTTAAACTGCGAAAGCCCCTGGGACCGCGCGGGGGGGCGGCTGCCGCGCTAATGAGAACTACAAGGGGCGAGCAGGCATGGAAATGGCTCCTCCACTCTTGATGTGCATTTAACTGCTTTTTTAGTGCGGCGGCAGAGCCAGGAACGAAGGAGTGATGAATGCAGCACAAAAGCATTTATTTTCCAATTCGGCAAAGTGGCTACGTTGGGAAATGTATGAATTATTTTAATTCACTCAACTGTCCTGAAACGTCGTGGAGCGAGCGGGCGCGGGGGGAGCCGCGGTGTGCGCACAGAGGGTGGAATCACCACTTTGGGTTCCTCTGCCCCAAAGCCCGCAGCGGGGTGGGTGCTAAGAGCAGCCTCCACTGCCCCCGGTGCGTGCTGACCCTCGCTTGGGCCCACCCCACAGAACCTCCCGCAGCCCCGCAGGGCCGCAGTGCCACTCACCGGGGTTGGGGCAGGCGCCGGGCAGCGCCATGGCCTCGCTCCACTGATCGGCGCTGGAGACAGAGTAGGAGCGCTGGTGCATGCCGTCGGGCTTGGAGCTGAAGCCCACCAGGTTGATGCCGCTGACGGAGCGCTCCGAGTGCAGGGAGGTGCTGCTGCTGGAATGTGGGGCGCCTGCAAGAGAGCCGCCGGGTCAGCGCGAGCCGACAGCTGCCTGGGGCAGAGCCGTGAGCCCTGTGCCACGTGTGTGCAGGTGCCCGGCACCAGGGCTGCTCCGGCCCTCCTCTCCTGCAGGTCCCCACACAGCACCGGGCAGCCGGGTGCCCAGCATGGCACAGCTGGGGGTCCCAGCACGCAGCCCCCCTTCGGTCCGGTTCTGCAGTCTGCGATCTGCTCCCGGTCCCCACCGCGACCACAAGCACCTGCACCAGCAGGCACCGCCAGCAGCCCCAGCGCCCGTCCTCGTGCAGTTCCACCGCCTGTGTGCCCCAGCACAGAGCACAGGGCGAGTGGAAAGCCCATGGAGGATGTCATGGGGACAGGCAGGGGGAAGGCCTCTGCCCCCGCTGGGACCCCTTAGCTGCATCCCGGCAGCTTAGAACCCACCGAGGAAAGTTCTGGGGAACAGAAGCGGCCAAAGAAGATGAGATCACTTTGATCTGAAATGGGTCAAATGTTTCTGGATTACAGGAACAGCCCCGACTCCCCACGCAACCAGACGGAGCTGCTCCTGCTGCTGAGTGCTGCCAGCAGTGTGTCTGGGGGGAGGACACTGCTGGGGGGACCGACCACACCTGGCACTGCACACACAGCCCCACACCTCCCCTGCTGCCCCGTGCTGCGAGGTCAGCTGCGCTCTGCTCTCCAGTGCTCCACGACTGCAACCCCCCACGTGCAGCACCAGGGTCTGTGCATGAAGTTACAGCTCTGTCCCCACCATTCCCAAAAAAACTGCAAAATGTGGTCCAAATGTCACCAATGTTTGAGTGCTGCCTGTGGCTGCGGAGTGCCAGGATCTCAGTTCCAAATTTCCCTTACAGAGAGCAGTGGCTGTACCAGGCGGCCATGGCACGAGTAGAATGGGGGGCAGCCTGAGTGTCTCCCCGCTTGCAGCCATGGGATCAGGTCCTGCAGCCCTGAGCACCAGCTGTGGGGCCAGGCTCCCACAGAACCATGGGGCCAGGTACCGCAGACCCACAGCCCCAGTGCAGTGCCACCGCTCAAACCCCTGAGCCCCACTGCCGTGCGCTCCCCCTCCCTGCCTTGTTCAGCACCACAGAAACACGTGTAAAACCATGACACTGACTTTGCCTCTAATTAGCCCTTAATTTACAAGACACACTCGGAAGGGTAATTAGCTGGCGCTCCGCTCTTGACTGCCGCATCCATCTCCTCTCTCCTCCTGGTGGGAGGGAGCCCGCTGCCACCAGAGCAGGGACACCCCTGGGACTGAGAGGGGATGGGTCCTGGGATGGGACGAGATGGAGTGGGACAGAGTGGGACAGGATGAGATGGGACGGGGTGGGACAGGATGGGATGGGGTGAGTTGGGAGGGAAGGTGATGGGATCCCCATCTCAGCCGGTGCAGGCTGACCTGCGCCATACTGCATGGGCAGCACGTGTGCAGTGCACAGCAGGGAGCAGAGGAAGGCAAACAGCACAGAACACTGCCTGGGGAAGTCCCGCAGCAGAGCGCAGCATCCTGAGGGCTGTGCAGTGCCCAGGTCTGCCCGATGCACAGCTGGAGCACCCCTCCCTGCAGGCACTGCCCCACCAGCAGCGTGACCACACAGAGCACCCAGATCCTGCGTCCCTGTGGAGCTGCCTGAGCCCTGCACACAGCCCCCTTGTCCTGGGAACAGGTAGATTGGTCCAGCAGAGAACCCCTCCTCCCAGACGTGATACCACCTGAGCTGCATGACAGGATCCCTGTACATTAGGCAAGGCAGAAGGTAAACAGAAAGCCACATGTAATGCACTGCCTGTCTCTCTGAGCACAGTCTCCAGGACTGACCTCTCCCTGCCCCCCCCCCACAGTCCATCAGCACAGCTTTCCCCATTCCTGTTTGCACGGAATTCAAAAAGTAAAGAATTTCACATCAACATGTTGGTGTGACCTCAGCAGTGCTCACAGCCCACAGCACTGTAACACCACGCAGCAGATGGATACGCAGTCACATTTCAGAGCATTAACACTGGAGTCATCCCTGACAGCATCACTGGGGAAAAGACTGCTTCCTCTGACAGTGCACTGATCCGACCAGTGCTGATGAAGCCAGGCTGTGGCACATCAGTTCTGCCCTACCAGCACGGCTGATGCCCACTTCTGAGCATCACGGCAAAGCCAGATCACAGACCTGCAGCGTGGCTGAGGATGGGGCCCCTCAGTGTCCCGCTGGTCCCCCCTCCCCCAGCATTGCCCCCCAGAGCACAGCGGGGTGGGAGATCCCCAAGGAGGAGAGCCCACGGCCGCCGTCCCCCTGCAGAGCTGGCTGTGTGCAGGGAGCTCCTGGGCTGCAGTTTGCACCCAGCGCCGCGTGCTGCCCCGCAGCGCCGAGCAGAGCGCAGCTCCATGACCTCACAGCTCCTGCAGGGTCTGTGGCCACGGTGGATCCCTCTGAGCCTGCCTGGGTCCAGGAGGAGCAGCCCCAGCAATCAGGCTCTCCTCCCAGCAGAGCTGCCCCAGGGCTGCAGTGGTGGTGGGAGCAGAGCTGCAGTGATGGTGGGAGCTGTGCTGCTTATTTCCAGCTGAACCACCCCTCCTCAGCCACCACTGGACCTTGCCATACATTTATCTGATAAGGCACTCTCTGTTATCAGAGTTTTGCTCCTCTCTTGGTTCTTACAAACAGCACTGGAAAAATCTCAGCCCCTTTTCTCTGCTACAACCACACCAACAGAGCTCCCCACACGTCTCCCAGCACAGCACGGTCTGCAGTCACAGGACATCCCCTGAGCCCTCCAAGTCCTCCCAGCCCCAAACTGCAGTCACCACAGACAGCTGAGAAAGGCTTCCAAAATTCCCGAATTAAATAATTCACACTCGCTGATTCCAACACGTCTAAATCTCCTACCTGCTGTTTAATTTGCTTCTAATTACAGCTGGAATATGAAGAATTCATCATTCTGCGCTAAGATACATCATCTCTCCTCTTCCCAGACACCAAACAGAAGTGTTTACTGAACACGTGGTTCCTTTCTTTATTAACCGCTCTATTATTTCCATGTAGTAATGAACCAACGCTGTGTTAGGATTCATTAGTTCCTAATAAACTCGAAAAGAACTTTTTGCTGTCTTTACCTCCCTGCAGCCCCTTGTGGTAACGGCGCCGTGTGCTCCTGCAGCCAGCGGAGCTGGGAGATGCTGGGCTGTGCAGGGAGGAGGGAGCACAGGTGGGGTTTGTCCATTCTTTGAGTAAAGCACCATGAGAGAGGAGGAGAGGGGGCTTTCCCTGCAGGACAAGGGCAGCACGTGGCCATCCCAGGCCAGGCTGCTCAGAGGTGGCTGCATCCATACACACACATACAGGCAGCCTGCGCTGCTGGCTGGCGATCCTGCCCACAGCAGGGGGTTGAAACTGGATGATCTTTGAGGTCCTTTTCAACCCAGCCATTCTATGATTCTATGATACACTGCTGCATGAAGTGAACCAGGCAGCACACAGCCTGGTTCTCCTTGCTCTCCTCCTGTGCATCTGTTGTGATCTGGACAGAGGAGTGAGCAGTTCACGTCTCCTCTAACCCAGATTAATACCTTTAAGTAGTGCAGCCTCTCCTTTGATTTTGACTTTTTGCTATCCAGTAAAATGCTCCTTTCATCACTCCTAATTACGCTCCACACTTTTTCCTGTATTTTTTTCCCCAAAGATCTGGCTCTAATTGCTTTCAGCTCTGTGAAATTGGCTCAGATATGTATTTTTGAGCACGTGTGTGTCTATGCGTGTTTGAAGCTCCCTATTTCTGCTCTCAGCTCTCCTCTGCCTGAGCAGCAGCACCACATCGGGGTTACCTGTGCCCGAGCTGCTGCTCTGAGGTCTCTGCTCAGAGGGAGCACAGCATCTCTGCAGTGCTGTGCTGTGCCTCAGTGCAGTAGGTTCAGGATGGCACCATTCCCACTGCTTGGGTCCTCTGGTGGGTATCGCTGTCACAGCGTCATTCATTCTCCACCACATCACACCTAAATGCTTCAGGAACCATTTCTGAGACACACAGCCAAAGTGGTGGAAAGCAGGAGCAGGGAATGGGTGATGAAGAAATGATGCTGATTCTGCCTTCTGCTCTACTAACGTGACCGTAGGTGACACTCAGTCCCTGCGGAAACCTGAAATCATGAGCTACGGAAAATGTACGTATGAGCAGCACTGCCTAAAGTACAAAACCAAAAGGCACCGTGCAACTGGAAGTCCAAAAGAGATCAGCACGGCTGGGATGGGGGCTGCAGTGCATGGAGCGAGCTCAGCCCTGCAGCACACTCAGCATCAGTGCACCCCGAGGCTGCAGGCAGAGCCCCAACAGCTCTGACCCACATGCAGTGCAGCAGAGGGAGCTCCCCCCCCCTGTGAGCTGCACGGCCTGACCTGCCCTGCAGCTGCTCTGTGAGGAACAGAAGGTGCAGTGCAGAAGGGAAAGGCCCTCAGCCCCCTCTGGAAGATACCAGCTGCCCCATTTCCCAGCTTCCTTGGCAGCACGGGGCAAGCAATTCAGACCCACGTTTTCACAGGTGGCCGCTAATTACATCTCGTCATTTCTGCAGGTGCCCACAGCCAGATGCTCAGCACAGCAGCCTCAGCCGTGTGCAGCCCTGCGCCCATCTGCCTCCCCCAGCACTGCCCAGCACAGCCACAGCCACAGTCGAGTCCTTTCCTCCTCACCCCCCCCAAAGCTGCCTTCCCTGCTCAGCCCTGCCATGCACTGCTCTGCTCCTTTAGTGTTCTAGCAAGCAGCAAGTGTATCAAGTCCCAGTAATTGTCTCTAATTAGGGTCAATGATCATTCTGCTGGGCAGGAGCAAATCAATCTCCGCTCTCCCCTTGGAGAGCAGCAGGTTGTGCAAGGCACGGTGCAGTGCAGGCACTGCAGGGCACAAAGCAGTGTGTGTGCTGCAGGGTGCAATGCAGCGTGGGTTCTGCAGGGGCAGCACACAGCAGAGCTCTGCCCGGATGCTGAAAGCTCTGC